CGGCGTAGAACGCATACTACGTACCTGAATGTGGCATTGTGGTGAAATGTGTTGACGTATTGGGTCCTTCTCTCCACAGAGATACTCTTGGCGTAGATGAGGTGTTGAATTTGCAACTTACACCCATCCCCAAGTCAGTTCCAATCTCCAAACTCCCCTCTTCTCTTCTTTTTTTTTTCCTCAACAAAGAATAAGGAAAGAAAAAGCAGAGGCTCGCAGATATGTAGACTTACGACATCCAACATGCTGGCGAGATACCACGCAACATTCTCGTTCTCGTAGAATATGATAATCTTTTCTTCCGCCTGATACTTGGCAACCTGATCCAGGAGGTACGACATCTTGGCCGACACGGTAGCCGTGATCCTCGTCGATTCGAGCGGCCCCGCAACGCCCAGGCTCGCATTGTCCATGGGCTTGTCCAGGTTGATGCCGCGTGAGCGCGTCTTGCGCGGGCTGTCACCGCCGAGCTTGGTGTTCCCGGCCAGCGTCTCAGCCGTTTTGGCGGGCGTGACCGTCTGCTGGAGCATCTCTCTCTCTCGCTCGCCCTTCTGCGCCAACCCCCCGTTGAGCAGTGCGTTCAGCTTTTCCGGCTCGCCCGCTGCGTTGTGCACCAGTCGTTGGAGTGCGAGTATCAGGCTGGCCAAGGTGGTGGTATTGCTGCTACCGCTCGGTTCGGTCGTCGTCCCTCCCCCAAGGGACCACGACTTGCCCGCCTTGCTGGGGAAATCTTTCACGTAGATTGGCATCTCGTGGAATTTATTGCTCAGGTTCCTCATCTCGTTCCCCACGGCGACGTGACCCAGCTTGATGGCCTGGTTCAATAGGTCCTCGTCTTCGGCACTCAGAGGGATCCTCTTCTCGCTCAGAAACTGCTCGGCCGTCTCCACCGACGTGGCAATCTCCGACGAGGTGAAGAATGAACCTCCAAAAAAGGTCGACTGCTTCAGGTTCTGCACGAGTTGCAGCAGGTTGCGTCGCTGCCGAGGGTGGAAGAAGTAGTCCTTGTCGGTCCTCTGCGACTGGACAGAGTTGAAGATGATCATCATGGAGAAGATACCCATCGACAGGCGGTCCTGGTACGAGCCGCCGAGCACGACGATCCTCTCGTCGACGCGTGGGAGGAGATCCCCGATATCGCTTAGCTGGTGTCTGACGATGAGGGAGTCCAGAGTGGCCATCAGAATGTCCCATCGTCCGTTGCTCCCCCTCTTGTGTCTCGGTAGCATCATGTATGTGTTCCAGTCGGCTCGGGCGTCGTCGGCATCTAGTTCTGTGTTAGCCCATGGTCGGACCCCGAGGAAGAGGGACGCCATCGAGCCTATGCGCTCCAGGTCCTTCCTCTCCATCTCACTCGACGACCCGCAGACGTCGGCTTCTCCCGGGGTGGGAGGATCGGGTATCGTTGAATCCTCTGGGAGGGAGTGATCCTTTGACCGTGACTTGCTGGGGTCCACGCCGAACAACCCGTACGACGGCGTTCCGGTCACGACCCAGCGCGAATCGGCCCTCAGCAGATCCAGTCCAGTCAGGAGTCTGCTGCGCCTTTTGGCACTGGAATTACCAATCTTGTGGCCTTCGTCAACGATACATCTCTTGAAGTGCAGGTTTTCAAATGGCTTTGGCTGGGAGAAGCTGGCCTGAGCGACGAGCGTTTCGAACCGAGACTGCGAGAAGAGCACGATATCACACTCGAGGAGCGCCTCGGTGGCTGGGAGAGGGTCCTTGCTGGTGACGACCACCACTTCGGTTCCTGACGTATGCTTCTGGATCTCTTGCCGCCACTGGGAGACTAGATTGTTTGGGACAACTATGAGCGTCGCTTGACTCAGGTGTACCTTTATCGGCAGACGATGGTCATGTTCGCCGTTGTCTACATGTCGGCTGGTTCGGCGTAGCTTGGGCGGCGGGACGAAGTAATACCCCGGTTGCCCTCTTATGGCGTTGATGCAACACTCCATGCCGGAGGCTTCAAGATCGTCCCTCCATGGGATAGCGTTTCGGCTGACGCACGACGCCGCCATGTCGACGAGCGATCCTATCCTGGGCCGAACTGGCGGCGGGGGTGGGCCGTAGATCTCGGGAATCTTGGTCGGCGCGCTTCTCGACGCGAGTATGAGGGCCAGGCATATAATCGTTTTCCCGGAACCCATTTCCTCCGCCAGTATGCCACCGGATATGCCGTCATAGTACCGCGGCTCTCCAAGTATTGTCCCGGATATTCTGTCCCAGTACCATTCCTTGCCGACCTGGTCCCGTAATTTCCGGAGCCTTGGGTCCAGCGTCCGACCCGGTTGCGCCTCCTTCTGGACCATCAGGGCTGACGTTCTCCTCTGGTAGTCGTAGAGGCTCGTCTCCAGGCCGGGGACCTCGCTCTTTAGCAGATTATCCATGGCGTCACGCGGCAACGGATCCGCGACGCTGATAGGGTCAGGCTTCGGCGACGGGATGTTGTTGAACAGCTCGAGAAGCGACATGTCCCTTTCCCCATAAGACGTTGTCTGATACTCCAGAGGATGCGGCCCATGGCTATTGGCAGTTCCCCGTAGGCGTCCTTCCCATGCTGCAGCCGAGTAGTCTAGCTGGGCGAGGATGGCTCGACTGGCCTTCCGAAGACTAGGATACGAGAGATCAATCAACTCGCCATGAAGCTCATCCGGCAGGATGTAGACCCTGAAGGTGGCGTAGGTAGCGTTTCTGTCGATCTTGAGTGCGAGCCGTATCCATTCCGCCTTGAGCAGTCGGGTATATGAGTTTAGAGTAGGTGACTTAAAGAGCAACGACTGTATGCCATCGGGAACATGGTGCCCGTCCTCTTGGTCCCCGGCGGGAGAGCCGAGTGTATGCCATGAGAAAAGGTCTTCCGAATCCCAAATTTCGCTGCTCAGGTCACTCTTCTCTCTGCTGATGCAGAAAGAGCCGGCAGCGATGTATCTGTCGTGGAAGGGCGCCATCGTCGTAGCGACACGCGGGCCGCAAAGTGGCCAAGGGTAAGACGACAGCGTATCAGCTAAGAACGGATGGGGATGCGAGCAATCTTCTCAACGGTATCATGGTCCAGATCTCGTCTTGAGGATTTGCAGAGTAGATAGACGTGGTGACTAAATTGCAACGTGAATGCGAATGTGCAACGTGAATGTGAATGTGCAACGTGAATGTGAACATGTAGTTTTGGCCCGACGGCAGGACAACGAAGTAATAAGTGCAAATGCCTTGGTAATGGGGATTATTGATACTGTGCCACACGCCACTTTTTTGCACCGAGCGCACAGTATCCTAGATCACACAGTAAAGCTTGCATTCACGTAATACGTAAAACATTGAGCCTACCGTCATTCATGATAACATGATAACACTGGAGACGGAGATGACTTGGGGACTGCTATTTGGTTGATCGATCTCACTTCATCTCTCTAATAAACCGACCTTCCAACTCTTGAAAGACCTCTCCCTGGCAGGCAAGAGCGTATTGCTCAACTCCAAGGTATTGGTAGCTGTCTTGATAGCTGAGGACGGAAAACTGATATCCTGAACGTCCGACGTGATGGAGTCGACTAGCTTGTTCCCTTCATCGACCGTGATGCTGCGGAACAGAATTTTCATGGCACTTTTCTTACCCTCAGCCAGTGAGGAGACGTATGTTACGTTTGAATTGAGGACCCAGAGGTGTAGGGCGACCTGCAGCTCAGTGCCATCACCGGACGGAGAAAACTCATGCGGGAAGATGACCGACTTGGATGATGCCGAACGTGATATACTAGATGCCAGGGCGGCAACGAGGCACTGGTTGCTTGTGGGGGCTGTGCAAGGCGACCGCGTCTCACAGAGAACCTGCCACTTGAACAGAGAGACGGATGAAGCGAGAACGTTGTAGAGACCAACCTGTGATCCGCAGGGCCTGCAGTAAGCGTGGAGGAACTTGGGAGGCTGAGTCTCATCCAGAGCCAGTCTACTCATGTCGTAGCCGGTTTCAAGGGTGGAGGATGAGAACTGGATGGAACAGATCAGTCGATGTTCGTACTTCTTCTCGAAGATTTTATGATTCATGTTTTTCTGTGTCTCGTATAACCGCACAGCAGCCACTTCTCTGGCTGTCATGACGAGATTAAGAAAAGAGACTTGTCGTGTCGGGCTGTCTCCTTGCAGACCGAAACCCGTTCAGCCAGGGAAGGGTTATGGTGTGCATTTCAACCACCCTCCATCGCACGAGCACGATGGCGACTAGGCTTTTGTTTTTGGGGGATTGTATCGATGGCCATGCCATTGGGGAAGCCAGTTTGAGCAACCGACGAGGCCAACTTCTTTTGCCCCCATAGGTCACAAAACGAGAGATGAACGAAGCAGAGGGATAACATGAGTCCCAAGGCAACTTACAGACAAGTGGCTGCAATCTGATTCTGAGAGCATAAATGATGTCAGATCGACAAAGCCGACTTGAGGCTGGGCGGATATGGTGCTGCTAGCACCGTAGCCACGCTGTGTCAGATGCTGATCGTCCTTGGCAGCGCCGTGATCGAGTGGTTTATGGCAATGCCAAAACTCCATCATCTCTGCCCAATTCTCACTCGGTAGATCTTTCCAGGAGGTGAGGGTACCTTTCTGCACAATATCATGGCCGCACTTTCGGCACCGGATAGGCGAGGCTGGCTGGAGATCCATGGCGTTCCATGGCAGGAGCTGGTTCTCAAGCGAGGACGCGGCGGACAGCGAAGACGCACTGGGCACCTGGTCAGACGCGGGTATGCGCCAGCTTAGGTGACCTGCCGTCGCATTTGGGATGGGAAGCGGCGTGACCAGCGATACTGGTGCTGGCAGGGCCATGGACTCTGTGTGGCCTCCATGACTGATGCGGACCACTGTGCCATTCTCAACAATCTCTGCGCTGGTTCCAGGACCCGACGCCGTCGGAAGACTCGCGATAACGGAGACCTGTCTTATGTTTGATAGAAGCTCGGCATATATCGATATGCCACTGGTTGGCAGGCTCGTTGGCATTGTGGTCTGCGAACTGAGCGAGGTTGAGAAGGGGAAGGTGAAGGGTTCGCGTCACGGTACATGCGCCTTCTCCGGCCGGTGCTGAAGTATGACTCGTGCCGATTAGTGCTGTTCAGTGCAACTGGCAGCCGGGTGACCCACCTGTAGTGCCCACTGGGCCACTTCTGACGCTATAATACTCATTGGGTTGCCAGAAAAAAAAAAAGCGGCAGGTGGGGCAGCCACACTCGCTCCTTCCTTGTGTTGGGGCTTTAAATAACTAAGCTACTTGTAGGGATGAGGTGCATCAGGTACATGGAATATGCCACGACGAGGGCATTGTGATTTTGAGAAATCATCTCGGGCCACGTGCATTTCTACCTGCACTTGATCCCCTTTCACTCGTTGATCGTCTTGGAAAAGAGCGGCACCTTGCGATACCAACATCTCCTTAACCGCGCAGGTAGACGAAGTACGAGTACGGGTACCTACTTGCCACTGCCAGTAAGTGCCAGCGCTTCACCACCGCCAGCCCAACAAATTCAACCTCATTTACCTCCTTCGTTTTGGTCTTCGCCGTCACTCAGCTCTCGACGCATCTCAAGTATCCATCATGTCGGGTATACTTTCCCATGTGCCCATTGTCAACAGGCTGGCAGGGTCTGGCTCGCGGCCTGGCATGATCGAACTGCCCCCGGTTGAAATCCACCAAGTCGAGACGAGCCCGGACCGCCGTGCTCGCGGGCTCAAACACCTGATCAAGGCCAATCATGTCAACTACTCGATCGTCTACCGCAACTACGGGTTTGACAATCACAATGCTCAAATACTCAGCTCGGCCTATCTCCTAGGCGCAGATGAGACCAAGCTCGCTGAAATCTACGAGGCCAGGGCTGAGGTTCTTGAGCCATGGCAGCCCTCGCCTGCTGAGGTGATTGACGAAGACTGGGATGACTTCGTGGGCGACAGACGGTATCAGCGTGCCTACATCGACTATTTTGAGGACAAGCTTGCCTTGGAATTTGCCTACGACTGGAAGAAGGAGGTCAGCCACTTTATGTTTGACCTGGATGAGCCTCTCTTTCATGGCTTGATCGGAGGGCGTATGTGACACCTCTCCCTCCCACCACCCTTTTTCCTGTACTGGGCCTCGCTCACCACTCGTCACAGTTGGCCATCCGCTCGTCCACCTTGGATATGCATACGAGGTAGACAGCAGGGAGTTGGCCATGGAAGCTTTGGCCCTCACAGCCATAGAGTACAATTTCCTTCACAAGTATATCAGTGACCGCTCTTATACAAGGTCGTCTCCCATCCAGTCTGATTCGCCAATGGACCTTATAGGAAAATTGGTGGATGACGAGAGATTTGACAGCATTAAGAATCAGAACCTCGATCAGCTCGAGTCCATATTTGAGCAGCATGAATCTTTCATCATGGAGTACTGGAACGGCTGGAAACTTGACGACCCCTTGAAGCAGTTTGAGCTTTCGCAGGAAGCAGCCGTTGCGCTTCTTGTGGCCACTGCCGCACCCGGAACACGCTCATACAACTTCTTCATTGCCCACATATTAACCACCAGCCATGCCGTGCGCGTGCTGCTACCCATATTCCCTGCTGAGCATCGGGTGACCCTAGTTAGGGAGTGGTGGCTCCTCGCCCTAGCCATCTTTGTCGCAAAGGGCCGCCCCAAGCCTGACTCTGAGAATATCAATGAGGATATAGGAGAGAAAGGCTGGAAGCACGTCGAATACCAGGCCTTGAATTCACCCTGGTCAACCAACGCGCACTATGTCAACGGTGAGTTTCCTTTCCCTGTCCGGATGGACCTGACCCACGAGGTGAAAGCAGCTGAACCGATCAATACCATGCAGTTATCCGCGCAATGAGGGAAGCCTCCAGGACTTGGGGTGATTCTCGTCAGTCATATCTACATGCAGCAGTGACGTTTTCCCATCAGTTTGATGGATGGGAGTTTTGAAAAGGGCTGGCTTTAGTTTTACTGTGCTGCACGTTGGTATGACACGGTCTAGGAATCCAGCGACGTAGCCACGCCTTGATCGAGAGTTAACTTCTGCCAAAATAAAGAGTGACAATCCATGTCTTTGAATGCTGGAAGAAGGTAATCCGTGAATGAGCCGTTGATAGGATAGTGAGATTGTAAGCGGGAGTCACAGTATAAATAAATATGATATCGACACTGTATGACACTATGAAGACAGTCACAGATTGAACGGACTACCACCACCAGCTCTCGGAGCCATCCAACAACACCACAGTTCATACACGACTCGTCGTACGCATATCTCACCGGGAACTACCGTATCGAGGTCCGAATGGAACAGGAGCAGCATCGCCAATGCCCGGATTGCGCTGATGGCTCCGCCCGCGAAGCGCCGCCGGCGGAAAGTCGTCGATGCTTCTGACGACGATGACGACAATGGCCAACACCAACAAGAAGACGTGTCGCCCCTGAAAAACAGCAACAATACCTTGGCCAACTTTCTCCTCGCATCTCCCAGCTCTCCCACAAAGACACGAGCCTCCACAGCGTCTCCCAGTCCCGTCAAGCCGAAGCCGAGGCCGGGGATCCGCAAGCCGAGCAAGGGCAGCAGCAGCAGCCAGAAGGATGGCAGCGGTGCCATTACGAAGAAGTCGACATCAGCAAAAGGGAATTGCGGAGACGAGAAGGGAAAATCGGCCGATCTCAAGTCGCTTTTCTCGAAACAGGCACAGCGGGCCCCCGCGCGGCATACAGACGGCACCCCTGTCGACGACCTGATTAGCGATCCCATATCCGAGGACGACGACGACATATCAGAGGTCAAGGCTAGCTCGTCGAGCCTTGTAGGACAACAAGCGAGAAAGAGACTCAGGAATTCAACAGCAGAGTCGTCGTCACATCTGCCGTCGTCATCGGCGGCGACCTTGACGACCCGCTTCCGCAAGCCACCGCTGTCCCAGCCGCCAGTGAAACCTACAAACGCGAACAGCAACAACGCCTACAACGATGACGACCAACGGCCATGGTCGGAACGCTTCGGACCGAAGAACCTCGATGAACTGGTGGTGCACAAGAAAAAGGTGGCCGACGTGCGCAGGTGGATCCAAGAGGTCACGGCCGGCCGTATGAGGCAGCGGGTACTGGTCCTCAAGGGTCCGGCCGGGTCAGCCAAGACGGCGACGCTGCGTCTGCTGGCGAGAGACATGGGCATCGAGGTGTTGGAGTGGAAGAACCCGGCCAACAATGCAGGGCTGGGGTTTTCGTCTGCATCAGCCAAGTTTGACGAGTTTCTCGGCCGCGGGGCCAAGTTTGGAGCTCTAGAGATGGACGATGACGACGACGGCAGTCGTAGCGGTGGCGGCGCGGCAGCAACGGCAGCAGTCGACGGAAACGAGGACAAGTCGAAGCGACTGATGATGATTGAAGAGTTCCCGAACACATTCTCACGCTCCTCGACAGCTCTGACGTCGTTCCGGAGCTCTATACTGCGCTATCTTGCGGCGCACGTGCCGTCCCTCAACAGCGTCTTCTCGCACCAGCACAAGCAGCAACGAGAAGCGTCCATAAAGCCGATTGTCATGATCATATCGGAGACGCTGCTGACGACGACGTCGGCCGCGGCCGACAGCTTCACGGCCCATCGGCTACTGGGACCGGAAATCCTGCGGCACCCGGGCGTGGGCGTGATAGAGTTCAACGCGGTCGCTCCGACGCTGCTAGCCAGGGCACTGGACCTGGTGGTGCAAAAGGAGGCGCGGAAATCGGGACGCAGGAGGACGCCCGGACCCGCGGTGCTGCAGCGGCTAGGCGAGATCGGCGACGTCCGCAGCGCCATCTCGTCGCTCGAGTTCCTCTGCCTCAAGGGCGACCACGAGGCCGACTGGGGCGCCAAGGTGGCGTTCACAAAGCAGAAGAAGAGCGTCAGGGACTCGATCATGCTGACACAGGGCGAGACCGACAGTCTGGAGCTGATATCCCAGCGCGAGGCGAGCCTGGGCATCTTCCACGCCGTGGGCAAGGTGGTCTACAACAAACGTGAGGAGGTGCCGTCGACGGACAGCGCAGAGGTGAGCCTGCCGCCTCACATGGCGCAGCACGCACGGCCCAAGCGCTCGCAGGTGTCCGTCGACGCGCTGATGGACGAGACGGGCACGGACACGCACACCTTCATCTCGGCGCTGCACGAGAACTATGCGGCCTCGTGCGAGAGCACGGGACCCATGGACCTCTCCACGCCGATGGACTACATAAACGACTGCATCGAGTCCCTCTCGGAGAGCGACCTGCTCTGCCCGTCGCGCGACATCTTCTTCGGCGGCAGGGGCTGGTCGCTCGGCGGTGGGAGGGACATGGGAAGCCATGTGCTCCGCCAGGACGAAATCATGTTCCACGTCGCCGTGAGGGGGATGCTCTTCTCCCTTCCCGACCCCGTCCAGCGCAAGATGTCGACGTCATTCAAGGGGTCCGACGCCTTCAAGATGTTCTACCCGCAGAGCCTCAAGCTGTGGCGTGCGAAGGAGGAGATTGAGGGTATGGTGGACATGTGGTCGTCAAACATGCTAAAGGGGGAGTGGTGGGCGCCTACGAGAAACCTGACGGATGGAGCCAGTGCGTTTCGAAGACCACAGATTGCACCCCCACCACCACCACCACCACCACCACCATCATCATCATCACTGCCGACGACAATGACTCAGCAGCAACGGCAACGGCAGCAGCAGCAGCAGCAGCAGCAACTATACACAGATAACAACAACAACAAAAACAACGATGACGGACCACTCATATCTCTCGGCAGCGCTGCACGACGCGAGATGCTCCTAGAACGACTACCGTACATGGCACAGATAGCCCGTAGAACTGCCCACGGCAACAGGTCGTGTCCCATACCCATCCGTCTCCGCGACCTGGACAAGGTGGTCGCCTTCAAAGGCGTCGCGTCGGTAGACGAGAAGGCAGAGGACGACGAGGACGTCGAAGAGGATGCCGAACAGGCTGGTGGTGGCGCAACCGGTGACGCCGACGATGCCTGGGCGACTGACAAGCCGTCGGATGAAGTGTCGCCCCGGAAGAAGAGGGCGGCGGGTATAAAGTCCGGGGGCATGACGGGTATGCTGGCGCAGAGATTGGTTCTTAGTGATGATGATATCGAGGACTAAAGGGAGGGGAGGGAGCCATGTATAAATCAACATTGCGTGTGTCGTTTCTTCTCATTCTAGAGACGTGGTGAAAAAACAAATGGGGGGGGGATATATATATATATATATGGGCGTGATTATTTCAAGATGTAGGCGTTTTGTGCTGAAATTTTTTTTTTCATTTTTTTTTAATTTGCTATGGGAATTATTGTAAATATCTCTGGTCTCTCCTCCCCCTTCCCCATGCGCACATCGATAATTACCTATTCCATAACTTAGAGCACGGCATACTTTACAGTGACCAAACGACCAACCTCTGGGACTGTCAATGTCTCGGGCTTTGGCGAGACTCCTTCACATCGGGATGGGGTTCCTTACTTCTACGAAGGAGACTGGGAGGGATTTTTTTTTTGATGAGTGTATTCACATTGTCTCCATTCAAGAATACATGATAGCTATATATATATATATATTTATATTGGCTCTCCTTTCTTCTTATCCTTGTTCTTTTTCAACAATATTGATAATGTTTTGCTCACCTGATTGGACATGTCAAGAGACCCAAACAGAGACAGAAAAAAAGAAAAATACACTGGCAAACCTGTTTCCCAAACGCCTTTGTAATGCTTGCTTTGGTTTTTTTCCTCCTTGTTCTTTTCTTAAGAAGAATATATTGTGTGTGTGCGTGTGTGTGCCCCCAAGGGCATTGTGTACTCGTAAAATAATATCATGTTTCTGGTCTTGTCTTTTAACTGACGAGGTTGGTCTCGACAAATGTCTACTGGCCGTTAGTTGTCATGATATACAGCATACACACACTCAAAAGGGAGAAGGGGTCGGAGAGAAGAAGAGAGAGAGAGAGAGAGAGAAGAAGAAAAGTACCGGAAACTTTTGATGCAGAGCAGTGGTGATATTCTCCACCTCATCAGCCAGACTCTGGACGTTGGTATCCCACCGTGCAATCTCCTTGCCGAAAGCGGCGACGGTACGGCCGCTGCCCTTCTCGCCGGAAGCCTCACCGCCGCCAAAGTAGACGATGCCGTCGAGCTGGTCGATGCGGCCGACCAGCCGACCCTGCTCGATCATGCCGGCGGTGATCTCCTCGGCCCTGGCGGCGTCGAGGCCGAGCAGGAGGCCCAGGTCGTCGAAGCGGATGTTTGCGTACAGCTTCGAGGCCCCGACGAGGTTGTGCTCGACGACGGCCCTGGCCAGCACGGTGGACCCGTCCGAGGTGGTGGCGAGCTGGTGCGGCTGCAGGTCCCTGGCGAAGGCGGCGACCTGGTCCGGGCCGAGGAGGCGGTCGAGCAGCATGCTCTCCAGCATGGGGAACTCGGGCAGCTGGGGGGAGCGGTCGTCCTTGTGGAGGCGGCCGAGGGTGCGGCCGCGCAGGGGCCCGGCGGGGGCCAGGATGGCGCACCGCGCCGCCATGGACAGCGTGTGCAGCCTCTCGTCCTCGGCGATGGCTCGCGAGAAGCTGACCTCGTGGTACTTGTTGGCGGCGGGGAGGAAGTCGCGCTTGGCGTCGAGGATGCGCGCCTGGCACAGGTTGAAGTGCAGCGTCAGGTCGGCGTCCTCGACCTGGTGCATCATGTTCTTCAGCTTGCTGACGTAGACGTCGGCGCCGGTGCTGTCGTCCACCTCGAGCAGGTTGCGCGCGATGCGGATCCAGGTCTGCGCCCGCTGCGCCGCCGTCAGCTGCCGCTGCGAGCTGTCGAGCGGTATGGCCGCCAGCGTCCGCGCCGCCGCCACGAAGTCCTCCTGCTCCTCGTGCGCGCTCGCCACCAGCTCCCGCACCGTCGCCTCCGCGTCCGCGTAGTTGGCCGGCTGGCCCGACAGCAGCTCCAGCGTCCGGTCGCCGACCTCGATCCACAGGTCCGCCCCGCCGCCGACCTCGATCGACCTGAGCGTCTCGACGAACGTGCCGAGGACGGAGCGCGTCGCCACGACCCCCAGGGACGCGCCGAAGAAGGAGGTGGCGATGGCTACCAGGTCGTCGGCTGCCGTCGACGGCGTCGACAGCTCCTTGATCCGGGAGAGCATGTCCTCGTACACCTTGCCCTTGTCGGCTGCTTGGCCGGCACTGGCGAGCGCCTCGGCCACCTTGGGGTTCGGGGGCATGGTGTATGGTGTATTTTTTTTTTGTATTTTTGTATTTCTGTTTCTGTTTTTGCGTGTATCGTGTATGTATATGTATACGTACGTGTACGCGTGTCCTGTCTGTCTGTCGTCCTTCCTATCAGATCACCTATCGTCGACTTGTGATGGATGCGTTCGGTCGGGAAGTGATCCTGTCGGGCGTATGCGTCAAGTTGGAGGTGAGAGGTGCAGAAGGATGAGGAGGGGTGGAGCTGTGGTCAGCAGTCGGCGTTGGTGGGGTCTGCTTGTCATGTGCATTGCGTAGGCAATACAGTGTAGACATAGTCTACAGAGGACCAAGCAGACATTCATCGAAGCATTATCAACACAAGAATCTGACACGGATAATAATACATGAGAGAACCTGGATATGAATGCTGGAAACGCTTCGTCTCTCCAGTTCATATATATAAGATGGGTCGTGATGTATTTGTCATGTAATGATGTTTATATGCGACGTATACAAACTACTAGGTAATACCCTTCCCTCGAAACGCCAGATACCCAAACCGTGAGAAGCCATCGAGAAGGAGATGGAGTGACAGAGAAGAAGGAAGAGAGGAGAGAGAGAGAGAGAGAGAGAGAGAGAGAAGAGAGGAATGAGAAGAAGAAGAGAGAGAGAGGGAGAGTTGGCCTACTTGTTGTGCCACAGGAGCGTCCTCAGGGAATCCCAGCTATCGCAGTCCCTGTAGATGTAGACCATGCTGCTCCGCAGACTGGACTGGAGATCGTCGGGGTGCTTGTCAAAGAGGAGCATGACGAGGCCCCAGGACAGCGACGCAAAGGCCGGCCAGGCATAGTGCGTGATGTTCGACCGGGCAGGCTCCTCCGTCAGGCCGGGGATGCCGTGTCCCGGCTTGACGGCGATGCTGGCCAGGGCGAGGGCCACGCGGGCAAAGATGTAGATGACAATCTGCTGGCTGACGGGGGAGATCTTGCCCGTCCGGGGGGAGCGACGGCCAAAGACCAGGTAGCCTCCCAGCATGCCGGCCGCGAGGGAATCGTACGGGCCTGTGAATTGATTTTCCGCCGGAACCTGGTCAGGAATCATCCTGCTCTTCGCGGTGGGGGGAGGAGTCTTCTGTAACACGGAGGGGGAGATGCCGTCCTCACCTTCCTTGCCTGGCGTGGCTCCGTAGTATTTGAGTGCCAGCAGGGTAATCTTGTATATGCTCGCGAATCGAGCCAGGTTGCTGGCATGATGTCTCGTAGCCCTGAGGACGAGGGACAGCTTTTCGCGGAAGCTGTTTCTCATTGTTACTGTTAATTTTTGATGGTTTTTTTTTTTCCCTCCCCTCCATCCCGTCAATCGTTGGTAGGGAATAGGTTCGAAGGGGGAGAAGGACGTACGTTCCGGATCGGAAGAGGAATATCATTCTGCAGAGAGAGAGAGAGTGAGAGAGAGGAGGGGGGGAGGGGGTTAGCAGATGTGAGAAGAAAGGAAGAGGAGAAGAGGAGAATAAGAAATAAGAGAGAGAGAGAGAGAGAGAGAGAGAGAGATTGTGATGGAGGGAGAAAACGTACACGAGCGCATGCGGAAATCGCACCTTGGCACCATACACGGCACCGTTGCGCGCCGTCTTGACAAGTGACAAGATGTCATGGTACCGAGGGTCCTTGATGATTTCCTCCAAGAAAGCCTGTAGTACCATTTTTTTTCAAAAAAAAAAGAAGAAAAAAAGTCATTAGATATCACTATTCTCTCATCCTGATTCGATAGCCCACTCGTATCTTATTGCCCTCCTATCGTTCTGTCGGGAGTCTGTCGTTTCGATCCGTGCGCACCTTGAGGCTTTCAATCGACAAGGCCATGACGGGTGATGGATTGTCTCGGTCTATTCTCTCTGTTGTCGGGATAGGGCGTCGAAGAGGGAGAGAGGGAGAGAGATCAGGTCATCTGGGCGTCGCAGGGGAGATGGATTAGATGATTGGAGATGCGAATAGTCTCAACTCTCCAAGGGAAAGATATCGATTGTCGGATGCAGGATTTGGGAGAGATTGACCTTGAAATAAACACACACACAGATGGAGAGGGAGAGAGAGAGGAAGAGAGAGAGAGAGAGAGACAAGAGAGGGAGAGAGACGATGGAATAAAATGAAGGGATGGGAGGATGGATATTTCTGTCCCTCGGCCCATGAGCCTCGGGCCAGAAATGCGCACGGCTATTGTTCTTCCCCACCAATACCCGCCTATGACGCACTCTCTTCACCTCTCTTCACAGCGCCTTTGATCGCTATATGGAGATGATCAATCACCTCACCTCTATTGATACTGAGTATCGCAGCAGCATCGCCCAAACAAATTTCTTCTTACGAATGTACTCATCATTAATCTCTCTCTCTCTCTCTCTCTCTTTATAATTTTTTTCTTTTCTTTCTTCTTCTTTCTTCTTTCATTTTAATTTTAATTTTTTTAATTTTTTTTTTTTAAAAAAAAAACCAACTGTACGTAAGCAGCACCGGCATTCTCTCTCTCCCTTTTTTCCCCCATGTGATAATCGTGTGGATATCACCAAATGCCAGCATATCCGGAACATTAGATAACCCGGACCCGTCAGGGGCAGCACCGGCCGCATCAACGCCAGATTCGTAGCATCACGGTAGTGACAAGAGGAAGAGGACGAGAACCCGGATCGACTTCGCATAGCATACCTGCCCCTTTGCGGAGGAGGCTGTCGTGCACGTGATAGACCGGTTATTTATAGATCCATCGTCAATACCAGCGGGTATTCATCATGTGATAATTCATCAATCTATTCTTCCGTCAAAAAAATGAAGAAAAGAAGAAGACCCATCCTTCAAACCCTCATGACTCTCTTCTCGGGGGGTTCCGACCGTCATGCACGCATGCTGGTCAAGAATTCGAGATGCAGAATGAGCATGCATGTACTGATACATAATGTAATATAATATACTATATATATATATATATGTGTGTGTGTGTGTGTGATCCTCCGACCTCAGCACCATCGTTCATGCGCTTCCCTCCACTTCACACCCAGCAAGTCAAAGATCCTCCTCTCGTCCTTAGCCTCCACCAGCGTACCGTCCGTCACCCTCGCCCTGCCCGCCCCGCGCATCACGTCCCTGTACAGGCCACGCTGGTTGAGCCTCATGCCCTTGCGCGAGGCCAGCAGCCTCAGGCTCCGGTTGAACAGGTCGTTCCCGGTAAAGTAGATGAGGGCCGCGCCCAGCTCCGTCTCCGGCACGAGCAGGAAATCTATCCTCCTCCACCGTCTCCGCTCCCCCCCCCCCGCACCTCCCGTAGCGGTGGCGGTAGCGGTAGCGGTAGCGGTGGCGGTGGCAGTGTCGACACCGCCCGGGTCCGTCGGCTGAGCCTGAGCCTGAGCCTGCGCCGGAAGGACGCAGCATCCGTGCCATCTGCTCCTCCCGCTGCCGGCGAGGTGCGCCACCAGGAAGCCCTCCCTCTCCAGCTTACCCACCAGCTCGCCGAGGAAGGGCGCCAGCTCCTCCGAGCTTCCGGTCCCCACCCGCGTGACGAGCAGGTCGATGTCGTGCGACGACTCCGCCCCCCTCCGGTAGCTGCCGCCGATGATGACGCACACCCCCGGGTCTATCGCCGCCGCCGCCCTCCTCACCACCGCCCCGAGGAGCTCCACCTCGCGCCGCGGTATCCTCCTGACCAGGTCGTCGTGGTGCTGTATGCCCAGCATCTGGCTGGCCGACAGCCTGACCCTCCCGGGCCCGTCGCCGCCGCCGCCGCCGCCGCCGTCGGCGAGGAGCAGGTCCTCCAGCGTCCTGTGACCCTGCGCGACCCACCGCTGCGCGAGCCTCATGCCGACGCCGTAGATGCCCGTGAACAGCCGCAGGGATTCGCTCGCCGGCTCCGCCTCGGCGTACTCTAGCCGCCTGAGCCTGTCCGTCGAGACGATCTCCTCCACCTTTTGCGCCAGGCGCCGTCCGATCGACGGCAGCCGCACGGCCTCGTCCTCGGTGCAGATCTGGACCGTCTGCCGCCGCAGCGTCGCCGCGGCCCGCCGGTACGCCATGGCCCGCCACGTGTCTTCCGTCTGGTCGTAGTAGCTCGCCATCTTCTGGAGCATCTCGATGGTCCGCGCGTTGGGGTTGGGATCGTCGCCGTCCTTGGTGGCGCCCCGCTGGCGGGTCCATGACTGCTCTGCCCTTCCTCCATGGCCTCTCGGTGCAGGTGCATGTGCAGGTGCAGGTGCTGATGCTGGCGTTGCCGTCGTCTTGCCTACCACTGCCATGGTCTTTCCCGCCGCTGGCCTTGTAGAACGATGATTGTCTGGATCCGGATCTCGGGATGGTCCGTCATCATCGTCGTCGTCATCGTCGTCGTCGTCGTCGTCGTTGTCGTCGTCATCATCGTCGAGCGGTAGGTTCCTGTACTGCTGCATCATGTGTATGAACCCGGACAGCTCATCTGCAGCAGCCGCAGCCCCCCGCGCAGTACCGTCCACCTCCTGCGACTCGTCCCCCACGCGGATCGGTGTTCCGGAGGGGATGATCTGTCGTCGTGACTCCTTGATCGCGAGCGAGCCACCCTCGCCGCCGTCGGCGTCAGACGGCGCCGCCGGGGCAGCCGCAGCCGCGGGTGCAGATGCGGTGACTACCTGTCCGGAGACGCGATACCTGTTCTGCCTCGGATCCAGCAACGTCTTGAACTGGATGCATTCGAGCGGGTAGTCCTCGCCCACCACGACCGGGGCGGCAGCAGATGTGCCGTCGGCCTCGGGCAGGAGCGGCTCGACGTCACGGTAGCACAAGGCCCGGTCGACAACTACGTGAGTCGCGTCGCCGGAACTCCTCGTCCAGTTGGCGCCGTGCTCTCGCGCCTTGGCAATGCGGATGCGCCGCGCGGGGGAGATGTCATTGTTGGGGACGTAGAAGAAGGATAGGCCGGAGAAGAGTTGGGGGACGGCGGTAGTCGCACAGGTAGTAGTAGTGGTGGTGGTGGTGGTGGTGGTAGCAGAAGCAGCAGCAGCAGCAGCAGTAGTGGCAGAACGCTTGCGTTTCTTGGGTGCCGCAGCAGCAGCGGTACTGGGTGCACTGCCCGTGGAATTCGTGCCTTCTTCCTTGGACGGTAGTCTTGGTCTTCGTCGGCCCCTCTTGACTTGCTTGGTGGCGGTGGTTCCTGGCCGAGGCGCTGTTGCTGCCGTCTTGCGAGATATGGTCGGCGATGGCGTCGCCTCCGCTGGGGCTGGCGATGGCGGCCGTGCTCCTTCTGGTGGCGGTGGTGGCGGTGGTGGCGGATGGAAGAAGTTCCGGCTCTCCATACGGGCATCACCGTCCAGATCATCTTCGTCGTCGTCGTCGTCGTCGTCGTCCCCGTGGTGGTAGTCCGTAACGATCCATCCAAGGGCAGCCTGCTTGTCCGCCAGACGCGTTTGGTCATCGCCGTTGCCGCGTACGGTAGCATTGGTACGGCTGTTACTGCTGCCGCCCCCATCCGTCACAGGTTCTCTCTGCTCCACGACGCAGGACATTGATTCTCATCCTTGACGACGAAATTGAGGGCAGATGTGGAGTGGAGGCTGAGCTTGATCCGGGCAGAGACCGCGGTTGCGTGAATGTTAGTGGGCCAGGCAAGCATCTGCTGATGATTACAGTTCGGATGACTCAAGACAAGAAATGGAGAAACCAACACACACAGAACAGGTCACAAGGAGAACGTGGAGGAAGGTGGGAGAGTAAACAGTTTCGATATACTATAATACATGAGTTTTTTCCTGTAACAGATAAAAAAAATAAGAATAAAAATAATCATAGTCATGATACATGTAGCCGCCGAATATAAGAGCCCCTCCCCACAACTCTAGCCATCCAAATAACTGATGGTAAAGAAACGCCATCTATCCCAGTAGCTTCTTTGGTTCAGATAACGCCCCTGGTATAAAGAGAAAATTCAAGTAATTAAAAGAAGAAGAAAAAGAGGACAGAGGGAGACGGAGAAGAAAGAGAGAGAGGGAGAGAGAAAAAGGCCATGTCGTAAGTTGTACAGATTGTACAGAAAAAGAAAAGAAGAAGAATCCACAGAAAAGTATAGAGAAAAGAGGACAGGCAAGGAATTACTGTCCATGCGTCAGCGATGGCCCAGGCCCGTACATTAACGGTACGCCATGCTTCTCGACCTGCTGCTGCTGCTGATCGTGGTGGTGGAACTGGTTGTGGAACGCGGCCGGATCGGCCGAGTACCTGGCGGCGGGGCCGGCGGCGACCTCCTGGTGCTGATCAGCCTCGCTGAGCACCTCCCTGGTCAGCTCGACGTAGTCGTAGGCGAACTCGCCGATCTCGGTGTCGTCCATGCCGAGGATCTCGGCGTCTTCGGAGGCTCGGATGCGCAGGCCCGGGACGAGGTTGAGCAGGAAGAGGATGAGGCAGGTGGCGGCGAAGGAGTAGGCCATGCCGGTGAAGGAGTCGGCCAGCTGGTAGGCCAGCTGGATCCAGTGGCGGTTGAGCCAGCCGCCGTCGATGCGGGAGACGCCGTCGAGGGCGGCGACGTAGTCGGCGGCGAAGAGGGCAGTGAGGACGTTGCCGACGAGGCCGCCGACGCCGTGGACGGCGAAGATGTCGAGGGCGTCGTCGACGCGCAGCAGGAACTTGAGCTTGGTGGCGTAGTTGGACACGGAGGCGCCGACGAGGCCGAAGACGACGGCGGCCCAGGGCGGCACGAAGCCCGAGCCGGGCGTGATGCAGACCAGGCCGGCCACGACGCCGGAGCAGAAGCCGACGGTCGACCACTTCCTCTCGAGGCGGTAGTCGAGGACGCACCAGGTGATGCCGCCGACGCAGGCGGCCAGGTTGGTCACCACGGCGGCCATGACGGCCCTCAGGTTGGCGGCCAGCGCCGACCCGGCGTTGAAGCCGAACCAGCCGACCCAGAGGAAGACGGTGCCGACGACGATGTGCGTCACGTTGTGGGGCCGGTAGTTGAGCTCGTGGGTGCCGTGCCCCCTCCGCTTGCCGAGCATCATCGAGTAGGCCAGGGCCGAGGAGCCGGAGGCGATGTGGACCGGCGTGCCCCCGGCAAAGTCGAGCCCGCCCATCCGGTTCGACCACCCGCTCGGGTTCCAGGTCCAGCACGCGATCGGGTCGTACACGGCCGTGGCCCAGACGAACATGAAGACGATGCAGGGCAGCATCCGACCCCGCTCGGCCACGGCCCCGGTGGCCAGCGCCACCGTGATGGCGCTGAACATGCCCTGGTAGACGGCGAACAGAAGGTCCGGGATCCTGTCCGACCCCACGGACGGCCGCGCCAGCACGTCCATGAAGCCGAAGTTGCGGAGGTCCCCGATGAAGCGCCCGGCCGTGTGGGAGAAGGTGAGGGAGTATCCCCAGAAGAACCACTGGAAGCAGGTGACGCCCACGGCCATGATGGATAGCCAGATCAGGGATAGGGCAGATTTTCGACGGGCGAGTCCGGAGTAGAAGAAACTAAGGAGGGGGGGGGGGGTTGTCTGGTCAGCTGTCGTCGTCGTTTCTTCTCTTCTTCTCTCTGACAAATCTTCCTTCATTCTCTCTGTTCTCAGGGGGAGGGGGGGGGGGGGGGGGGGGAAAAAAAGAAGAGAGAAGAGAGAGAGAAGAGAGGTGAGGAGAGCAGGAAGGGTGCACAGCATACCCGACTCCAGGAATCATGAGGAGAACGAGACCGGTGGCCGTCACCACCCAGGCAATGTCGCCTGCCTGAGGGAAGGAGAAGGAGAGGAGTCAGTCATCGGCTCGCGAACCCAGAGATTCTGGGGGAGGAGGAGGGGGGGGACGAGGGATCTATCCCACATTATACCAGAGATTGACGTCGAATTCGAGAGGATCGGCGCCCTTCTCTCCTGTGCCGTTGTAGGGGATAGTAGCATCCCTCTGGTCGAGCAGATCCATGCTGGCCATGGCTTTTTTGAGGATTTTCGTCGGTCGGGTCGAATGTATATATATTCGGCGTCCTTTTTCTTCTCTTTCTCTGATTCTCTCTTCTTCCCTCCTCCTGTGATTTTTTTATTATTATTAATTTTTCTCTCTCTCTTCTTTCTTGTTCAGATCCTCCACCCCTTTCTTCCTTTCGTATTCTGCGGCGTCAAATTATTATTATTGCTGTTGTTGTCGTTGTCGTCGTCGTTGTTGTTGTCGTCGAAGAACTGTCGAAATATGTTCCCCCACCAAAAAGAAATGTAAAAAAATAAAAAAATAAAAAAGAAGAGACAAGAAAGAAACCACCCCGTGGAAGGGCAACGTCCTACGTTTGCGTGAGCGACAATCCGTGGGCAGGAGAGAGAGAGAGAGAGAGAGAGAGTTAGAGAGAGAGAGATAGAGAGAGAGTTAGAGAGAGAGTTAGAGAGAGAGAGGTAGAGGTAGATAGATAGATAGAGAGAGAGAGAGAGAGACAGAGAGAGATGAGGGGAAAAAAGAGGGAAGGAGACTAAGGAAAAAGAAGAGAAGAGGGAAAAAAAAGGAAGGAAAAAAAAGAGAAGAAGAAAAGAGAGGAATTATGTCACGCGGCAGGCTCTGGTGGGGTTGGTGGATTTTGGCTACTCGTAGATCCCAGAACGGGGGACAAGCGTGGGGCTCAGCCGAATGGATCCTGGAATTCCTCTTGTGTATCGAGATAACGTGTTGCTTCTCTATCACTCGTACCTGTGCGGGAAGTGCTGATGAGATGATTGTAGACGCGGTCAGGGACATGTCGGACGTAGATGAATCGGGGACATGGTAGTCGGGAGAGAGAGAGAGGCAGAGGAGAGAGGAGGAGAAGACATTGTGCCCATGTGCTGATATAATAATATTGATGGAATAAAAAATAAATAGATATTTAAAATGATGATAGGAATATTACATATATATACAAGAGAAAATATATACAAAAGAAAATCAATAGATATGACCAGGTTCAGAGTACGGACCGCCGCAGAGCACGTACAGTATGACTGCGCAGAAAAACGTGGGACGAAGCCCGGGGGGGGGGGGGGGG